TTCCCTCCTTCATTTTTATTAAATGCTAGTGAATTAGGGTATTGTTCTGTGATAAACATGATTGCACAAAGCTTTGGGGAAAGTGGGGTAAGAGAGCAGACATATAGCATGGTGCTCTTTTAACATGAGGACAAGAAAGTACTTTACTGGTTTAACTTATTGTGTAATTTTAAAAATCTTTTGGCCAAAATTGGTAGCCAAATGTGTCATTTTATCAGAGCCCCTGACTAGATCTGAGAAAAGTTTCCCACAATTTGCCAAATTAGACTTAGCTTTAGAAGAATTTTGCTTAGACCATAGACTACTTGCACACTTCTAGATGCAGAAATTGAAAATGTGTGCGCCAAGGAACTAATGAGACTGTGGAAAATACTGAGGTTAACAGGGTCAGGACACGGACTGGCCAGGTACCTACTCTTAGTTTGTGCCTAGAAAAAGTGGCTGGCTGTGTGCCTTGCAAACTCAAGCATTTAGTTAATGAATTCCAAGAAAAGAATAGAAGTGTTATACTGGGCCAAATGGTCCATCTCTGCCAGTATCCTATCTCTAACAGTGGCAGCGGTGGATGCTATAGAGGGAGAACATAGAACTGGATATCTCTGGAGTGGTCTGTTTCCTATTTTGAACTTTCCCTGGCATCCACTATTACTGGTTTTGAGATGCCAGAGGAGCCATCTTCAACTGTTCTGTTCAAGAGATCTGTCGTTCATGACGAGCACATAAACGATCTATCTTTTGCTTCTCTGTGTGTATTTGAATCAGAATGGGGAGTGGAATAAGAAGGTACAAATAGCCAAGATTTCCAACATACAGGCGAACTAGATATAGTGCTGTAGAAACCAGAGCTCTTAATAACATGCTTAGGAGACCATAAGTGCATAAGCATTTTAGTGGGGCAATACTGAACAATAGCACGTAGCATAAAATACAAAATCCAATTAAAAAGCCAGACAGAGTGCATTAAGTTATTGAATCAGGCACCTATATCTTCACAAGTGAAATGTTAGTGCATTGTCTTGCCTCACTATTTGACTTGCAATGAAATGTGTCTGTACTGGAATGTATTTTGTTCCCTAATAAGTTTTATTTCCTATTGTAGTGGAAATAATTATTTTTAAATATAACAAGATTGGAAGGGTCCTCCTGGGCCATTGAACTCAGTCTTTTCTTAATAGAGGTATCATATCATTTTTTTTTGTTGTAGCCTTATCACCCTCCCTGTTTCCTCCCAAACTTTGAGGGGAGGCTGTCTAAGTGCATGTGATGCATCAATAATAAGTAATACACTTGCTTTTCCAAAATATGTATATACAACTCATTGGCGCATATGTTGTGCTCTGTAAAAAGCGATGGTGCCAATTGATTGATATACAACTGATAGAACAAGAATTGATCACTTCATTCAGTCCTAAGGGTATGTACACAAATGAAGGTGGACATAACAGGCTTAAGCTACATTTTTTTTAGTCCAGGGCTGTCCAACTTCTTTGTGGCTAGGGTCTGCATGTGGCGCCAGTGTCCAGCCTCTGGGCTACGTACTGTGGCAGCCATGCGCTTGTGGTGATAGGCTCCTGGAATCTTCCCACTGCAATGTGGGCTGAGAGGCGCATGCTTGCCCCTTGTGGGCTGCCAGTTGGGACGGACAGCCCTGTTCTTATTAGCTCTTTAACTGGGAAGGTGGATCAAATCCTATGCCTCTCTCTAGAGGGGCTGGAAGTTCTCAAATCCAGA